GGGAAGGAAGGAAGGAAGGAAGGAAGGAAGGAAGGAAGGAAGGAAAGAAAGAAAAGAAAGAAAAGAAAAAAGAAAAGAAAGAAAGAAAGAAAGAAAAGAAAGAAAGAAGAAAGAAAGAAAAAGAAAGAAAGAAAGAAAGAAAAAGAAAAGCAATACAAATACCATTTATATCACAAAATCTAACAAAATAACATATTTTTATTAATTAACTGCTGGCATCCCTTTAGCATACCTTCCTACTGGTTTGTTTGCCATATACTCTGATTATCTCCCATTCATGCCAATGACTCTGTAATACTTCCTATAGCAAATAAAAAACACTTTAGTCTTGTCCTCTAGCATTATCGGTCCCAATTTCTCTTTTCTTGGAAGTTTAGAAGGGTTTTTTTCAGCTTCACAATGACTTGACATTACTAGTCATAAAAGCTATAAGACTATTGTCAAATCTAGGAAACCTCTATTGAACTTCCCTGTAAGAAGCTGTAAGATCTGGAAGAACTTTCCAGACCCTATTTCTAGCTCCATATGTCTCGACCCTTGTTTCTCCTCTGCGGCTCACACATTTTCAGAGCCAGGTACCACAGGACAACATGCACAGCAGGATACACTCCCGGCCCTGTACCCCATGTCACAGTGCCAGGTGAGTCAGCGGAGTAGGCGATGGGCACATTCCTGGAAGCCGTGCCGACAGTGGGACGGCTGGTAACAACCACACGCCAAAGTGACTCCAAACCACATAAATATATTCCACTAATTCCCAGCTAACCGTATCCCTAATTCCACTTCCCTCAGCTGGATCCCAAAAATGGCCATCGCCACTCCAATACCATCCAACATTACAGGAAGTTGGACAGAGGGCAAGTCTAGGGAAAACAGATAACAATCTTAACCAACTGTGTTTATAGGTCTCTTGCTTTCGCAAATTTTGTAAAGCACACACCCGTGTAAACAGAATGCAAGCTCTGGTCGGAACGCTCTGCCTGTAGTACCAGCCAACGGCCATCAAGCAGGGACATTTGTTGCCATGGAAATCAAAACTGTGTTGTCACACTGGATTCGGCACCAGCTCTATTAACCACATTAAGTGATATCAATTTGAGGCAAGGATGGTGTGAGCTTCCCTTTGCTGCAAGGGAGAACTAGAGAGAACCACATGTCTATCACTTGAGGAAAGACTGTCCTATGACAGCTTAGCTCTCCCTTTCAATATCTCCCCAAATTGACTGTTTCAAAGCTAAGTATCTGACCTGTTCTTTAGAAACAGCCTCCTCCCTTGCTTGTGTCAAAAAGAAAGTTCAAAGCACGATGGAAATCAAGGAAGCAGGGACCCCCTCACATCCCTGCCACGGTTGAAATTACTTACCAAAAATCAGCCACCCAGGTCTTATGCTGGTTAGACCCCCCCAGAAAGCTATTCAGAAACCTTGTTAACACAAATTTGCCCCATGATCCTCCGTGTGTGAGGCAATGAGCACATGGACACAGCTGGAGAAGAGACATTATTACAGCAGACTCGGTGATGAAAGCCATCTGTGCCTGGCGTGTCTTACCTCATCATACATGAACTGAAGCGTCAGGGCCGACTTGCCAACCCCTCCACTGCCAACCATGATCACCTTGTGAAGGGCCAAGGAGCTCTGGCTCTTACTCTTGTTTGCAGCCATCCTGCTGGTTTTCTGCAGTTGCAACACACGAACAGAAGACCTAGTCGAAGAGCTGCCAATGAACAAGACAAAGACTTAGAAGCATTTTGATCTCTACCCAACTAAAAATCAAATGAAATCCACATGCACCAGAAAAGCCTAACCCAGAAATTCCAACAGAGAAATAAATCTTTGAGGTTCCACGCAGAGATAAAACAACCCCTCCAACAACCCCACATGTCATGTACCACGGCAGAGCCAGAGAGAAAGCAGGACAGAAAGAGGGAAAAAATGGGTATGCACAGCCAACGCCTGTATTGCTGGGTGGGTGGGGAAAGACAACCTGCCACTAGAAATCAATGTATCCTCAAAAGTGCTTCACTGAGGCGGAGTGACCACAGAGCTCCGAGTCCCACTTTCCACCCCTACTCCAAGTCATCTGGTACCCCAGAGAACACCAGCACTCAGGGACCTCAGCCCCCACCTCTTTATTCTACTCTTCACCTCCCCTTGTACCTCTACCTCCCGGCACACACACTCACACAGCCCCCCACACAGGCCATGGAGGTGCTCGGGAAGGGGATGAGTAAATGCAGTTTTTATAATAAGTATCCCTTCATGGCACAGGACAGAGTTAAAAGAAGGAGAACTAAACTATCTTCTCCAAGTGTATTTAAAGTGGTGAACTAAAGTGAGTTACAATTTCCTATAACAATTGATTAGTCGATGTGAGATAAAGAGGCAAGAATCCCTGGAATTAATGGGAAGACAAAATTTTCCAAATAAGTAAATTTAACAAATACCTGGAACTTATTTTAACCCCAGTGCCAATTTTTATTTTAACTAATGTGTATGGAAAAGCCCGTTTCAAATATACCACAGGGTAAGGAAAAGGGCGTGGGGCGGGGCATCTCATGGGTCATGAGCCTGGGTCTGCCATTTGTGAGCTGTGAAACTTAGAACTATCTGATTTCTCCAAGCCAGTTTTTTATCTGCAAAAACCAACCGCCCCCTACCTTGCAGGATTCTCCTGAGGGTTAAATGAGACAACATATGTGAACGACCTAAGCACAGTACCTAGCACCCAGTAGAAACTAAATAAAGGCTGGTTTCCTTCCTAGCAAATTCTACCTTTTTAAAATTTTAATTTTTTTTCTAATTACAATATGACAGGCTCCTATTTCCATTACTGCTGACAAGGTAACTTGAAAACATCACCACTAGAACAATAAATTAATATACACAGCACACACATAAATCATCCAGGCAAAATAAAACAACATTGCTTTAGATCAGTGGTTTCCATCCTTGGCTGCACAATGGAAATCACCTGGGGAGCTTTAAAAACATCCTGATGTGTGGGTGCCACCCCAGAGCCTCTGATGGAATTGGCCTGGCATGCAGCCTGGGCATGGGGACTTCTAAAAGCTTTCCAGGTGATTATAGTGGACATCCAAGGTTGAAAAGTTCTCTTACATGCACAGCTGAGCTCAAAAGAAAGTAAGAAATCCCCATGGTAGGGCAAAAACAATCAGGGCAGTAAGAGCTGCTATTCCTGGAGTCCTGAATAGCTGCTGTTCTTGGTAACTTCGGATTTAACAAACACAGGGCTAGGAGTTCAGCTGCCCAGACCAAGTGGGAGTTAGAACTGAGACCTCTTCTCAGTTGAGAACTGAGAAGCCAAGGCCCTTGGGAGAACACACCTACAGGTAAAGAATGGACTAGAAAAATATTTGTTGACCAACAGGGGACAATGACAAGGAATTTTGTTTGACTGAGCCCCAGCTGCATGGAAGTGTACCCAGAAAATCTGTGACCACAGCATTTCTCCAAAGCCAAGAAATTAACATAAAAAGCAGTCCCAGGCTGGTCATGGTGCTGGAGCACAAGACAGAGTGATAAACAAAACCTCTCTGGGAAGACAACATGCAGTAAAACAGAGCAGGATAGTCATAGCTAAAACCCACAGATAGGAGCCCACAATTCCAACCTATGACACACCTAAGAAAATCACCATACACAGGAGTCCACATCCATATAACAAGTAGGACTTTTCAGACAACTATTATACAAAGTATAATTTGAGCATTTTTAAAAAAGCCAAAATCAAAACGTCAGAAAAATGACATTATCAAAAGACCAGGAGTTGAACAAAAACCCCTCTGAATGTCTAAAATATTTTTTTAAGTATTTAAAACAAAAAGTTATAAAACTATAGAAAAGGGAAGGGTGCCTGGGTGGCTCAGTCATTAAGCATATGCCTTCGGCTCAGGTCATGATCCCAGGGTCCTGGGATCGAGCCCCGCATCGGGCTCTCTGCTCAGTGGGAAGCCTGCTTCTCCCTCTCCTGCTCCCCCTGCTTGTGTTCCCTCTCTCGCTGTGTCTCTGTCAAATAAATAAATAAAATCTTAAAAATATATAGATAGATAGATAGGGGAAAAAACCTATCATTTTTTCCCCTATCTTTGGCTCATTGCCTGGGGCCCTGCAGATTTAACTGACAAAAAACAGATTAACAGAGAAACAAACAGGAGCTTATTCCTGTGCATCTCACATACACAGACAACTCAGTGATGAGTAACTCAAAGGGGCGATTAGAACTTCGGCTTACATAGCATCTTAACAAAATAATAAATTTCGTAGAGAAGTGACAAGACCAAAAAAACAAAGGACTTTGCACTTATAGGGGCAACAAATCATGGGAAGGCAAATACCATATAGGGGAAACTGATGGAGGCTAAGAGCTGGTGAGTACGGTGTGTTATGCAGGTTCCCCCAGTGCCTTCTCTAGGCTGGTAAGTTTAGAGCTCTCAAGTGATTCAGAATAGCCCTGCCCTTCCTGGTAGAGACGGGGAGGCACAGAATTTTATTTTGGTCTGTTACTTTTCAACTGCCTTCAGCTCAAAATAATCCTATGTCAAAGTGGCATATTTTGGGATAGCATACTCTGAACCCTTTCAATGTTCAATAGAAAATTTAGGAAATAGGGGCTTCTGGCTGGCTCAGTCAGTGGAGAATGTGACTCTTGATCTCGGGGCTATGAGTTTGAGCCCCATGTTAGGTGCAGAGATTACTTAAAAATAAAATCTTTTTTAAAAAAATAAAGAAAATTTAGGAAATATCTAATCTTTAAAAGAGAAAAAAATCACTTATGATTCTGCCACCCAGAGATATTCACTATTAACAGATTTCCTGCCAGTATTCTAATCTATATATTCCTATATTTAAAACCTATTTGAGATCATATTTGTGAAGTTTGGCATGTTATCTCTCACGTATTATATCCATCTGTCTTCTTAGAGCAGACTGAACATAATTAAATCTTTCCTTGATGATTTAAGGACCATCCTCAGCATGAGATCAGTTATGTGAGCAGCGTTGGGCTGCTGTGAGTAGAATCGGATGTCTGCTCATTCTGCCCCCCTTCCACGGGACCTCAGCTTACTTACTTCCCTACGCCAGGCCTTCTTTCCACTGCTCTTTTTCTAATTATGTGCTTTTTAATAAGTGTTCTAAGCAATTAACTAGATAATTAAGCACATTTGAATTGTGACTAAAATAGAATAAATGGGATAAGGCATGGGCCTCCCCAAAAGGCTTCACTTTAGGAAAGTGAAACAGCTTTTGGCCTAATTTCTGGCCCACAAGTGTTTCCCAGAGAGCTCAGGTTGGTGCATGAAGTTGGAACCTCCAGACCATCCATCACACAATTTCTCTGAAGCAACCTTGCTTCTATGAATTATTACAATTGTACGAAAATGGAGAAATAATCTTCCAGGTTGGGATGGGGGAGGCTTTCAAACCCATGTAGACATCTATCTAATTCTGAGCTGTTATTTTCCAAAAACAAAGTCAATTTCTCTACAAGAAACCATAATAAATGAACTGAAGACTATTCAGCAGGTTTAAAGATATCTGCCAAAGTATCTGTGCTCAAAGCTCAAAAACTGAAATAACCACGGTGGATATTTCCAACCCACATAACCACCTTGGTCAACTTGACCTGATGAAGGGAAAGACAGGAGAAAGGCAGAAGGGCCAGCCAAGTGCCGATCACCAAACCAATCCTGGAAACTGGAAATGCTGACCTCCATGCTCCCGACACTGGAAATAAAAAAACCCTATTTATTTAAGCCACCGTTAGTCTACTTATTGTTGTTGTTTTTTGTTCTTACTTGTACCGAAAGTGTTCCAGAAACCTTCCTGGTTTTTGACTCAAGAAACTCCAAGTCTAGTGATTCGGACAGATTAGTAAACAATCACAGCGCAGGATAAAAAATTCTGTGGCAGAAGAATGACGCAAGGGTGCTCTGGGAACACAGAGGAGAGACATCTAAATCAGACTAGAAGGTCAGGGAAATTCTCCTAAAGGGAGCAACATAGGAACTGGGATTTGAAAGAGCCTACTCGATAAAGAGAGGAAGAGAAATAACAGGAAGAAAACAAATCAGCACGGTTTAGGAAGTGCGTGTTGATGATTTAATGTTTGTAACTGATATGCCTAGCCAATAAATGTGTTCTTAAAAAATAATACAAGTATCTTTTTTTCCCAACATTTTGTTATGAAAAGTTTCGACCTTTCAGCAAAGTTGAACCAACTGCACAGCGAGTCCATATACCGGCCACCTGGATTTTCCAATGAGCATTTTTTTCCATTTGCTTTACCACAAACCCCGCCATCTGGCATCCCTCTCCCTACCCATCAGTCCATCTTATTTTTTGATGAATTTCCATGTAAGCTATAGACATCAGTACACTTCATCCCTGACTTTGGCGGAGAGATCATTTTTTTACAAAGCAATCATATCCCCCCGCCCCCCCACTGCCTTCACTAACAATTTCAGAACTCTCTCTAAGGGGTTAGCAATCCTCCTAAATCACTTCAACAAACTATTTGGGTTCGTGGCCAATACATGAAGCCACAATGCAGACCTTTCATGGGGGAATTCAGGGCCATAACACCAAGTCGTGGCATGGCACCCCCTCTCGGTCAGAAGTCTTTCACAGGGGACTTGAGAAACATACCAGTGAACACCCTTTAGTGGGTCTCTACTTACTAACAAGAAACT